TCAAAGACCGGATCATGCCCACGTATTTGGCTGGCTGGATCAGGTGGTAAAGACTGACTGTGCAGCGGAATATGTCCCACATCGTGTCTGTGAAGGTTCGAGAGTCAGCGCATATCCGTTGCACCAATAAGAAAGTCGAGATACGTAGTGTTAGAGAGAGAATTTGCGGCTTCTTAGGTACTTACAAAAGTCATCCCAGTATGGCTCATCAGAGAACCACAATGGATTTTGAGCTGTCCTGTCTGAGGGCATGAGGTGCATGAAGTATAACGACGAGTACAGCAAGCGCAGATTTGTTGTATTGGCCGTGTCGTCTGTGACAACCTGGATCTTACTGAAGACATCCTCGTTCCATTCCTGTACCGCAGCACTGACAGTCTCATTAAAGGTTTGGCTGTCACTGATCTCGTCGGAGACCATCTGACAAGCATCAGTGACGTTGAGGAAAGAAATTCCGACTCGAGATGTGATTGTGTTGATGGAGCTATTGTCCCACGATAGCACTGCTCCAATTCGACTGCCAGGGAACACACCATTGGCTGGGTCGGCATCTGTGACCACGCTGCTAGTCGTCAAGTCTCGAAAAGTGGCTTGCGGTGGGCCCTCTCCGTCGTAAGTGTGTAGACGCACCGCTGGATCAGTGTTCCTGCCGGTGAAAGTCTGGAACGTGGTGGGATCCGAGTCGAAGTGCACGCAGAAAAAGAGCTGGAAAGGGGCACCTTCGTTCCACCCAGCACCATATGTTGCATAGCCCTTGAGGAGACTGGGGTCGTCGCTGGAAGCCTCGATTCTTCCACCAAGGTATGATTGGCTGGTGTAGCCACCACTCTCAGATGGAAGATAATGGGACAGGTCCATAAGAATGTGCTTCTCACCTCCGGAGGGAAATGTATACTGCAAGATGCCGGAGTGTCTGGCAGCCGAAATCTCGACCGTAACGCCATTGATCAGCTCGGTTTTGTAGTATCCAACCGAAGCAACGTCGTCGCCCACTCGTCTTTGCCAGTAGGTAGTGTTGTCCAGCAAGTTGACAGGAGGAGCGATACTGGTCAGCGGCATCTGAGCGATGACACCGTATTTGGGGGCGCCTCCTGTGCCACTCTCATGGAGCATCGAAAAGCCGGTCACATTACCTTGAGGTGTCCAGCCTCCATTAATGGTCGACAAATCACCAAAAGGCTCCCACGTATCTGGGCCTACTTTTGTCACTCCAAAAGGAAGCGCACCACCCACAAAAATATCTCCGCCACCATCTAAGGAGATGTCAGAGCGTGCAAACCTGACACACATCCATGGTTCACATACATGCTTCGCCAGGGAATGGTCCGGAGCCACCTATAAAAGGGTTCTGAAAAGCTCATCAGCGTCCTGAACCTTGTAATTCGTGTGGGCTCACTATTTCATATTCTTACCACATATTGTGAGTAGTCGCTTTGGGCTACCACGTCAACGGATAAGGCAAGAATAAAGGGGACCCAGGTCGTAATAGTCCTCTGAAGCCGAATCATGGTTATTTTGTAAGGACAGAAATTTGGAAAACTGAATATCCAGCACCCAAGATCTTTCAACGGCTTCGGATTGAATGCTGTCCAAGACGCCCAACCACAGCATATGTGAGATCGAGGAGCAAGTCTGAAAGCGGAGCAATTCTAAAGGATTTTAACTATTTAACAGGATTTGGCTTTCCTCATCTTTTGCAGCCTGTCATCTGGTGACCGTTGACCGCTAACTATGCTGCATTGTTTCCAGGTTGTCGTCAATCTGCGTCTTCCCCGCAATCCACTGCACCAGACCGCAGAACGGGTTACAATTTGCAGATGCAGTGACACCCAGAGATTGAGATCATCTCTAGTCTGCGATATCACCTGGGCACTGACTTAGTTGGGGTTCTATGCAGATTACCCCTGGTATATGCGTGAATAGAAAGCTTGGACTCCAATTTGTCGGGCCTCGTGATGACACTAGCCCGAGAGGACCTTTTTATCCATGGCCCTCGGAATGTGGGACTTTTGCTGAGAAAAATGAATTACAGCTAAATTTTCCTCCTGGAGATTAGTTCGAAAACCCCAGACGGAGAAGTTAAAGAAGATGTCTTTCAGCTGGAGACTGTGACGAATCGACTCTTCAGCGTCACGGACGGTACAAGAATCTGCATAACATTGTGCTGACCGTTTACAATGACCAAACCTGCTCTCTTGGACCATATTGTTGCTTGTCCTGCAAAATACCAAAGAGCATATGAAGTGAGAGGAGCGCGTGACGAGGAGCCGTGGAGATGAGCGACATCACCTCACCAAGCGCGGCGGCCAGATGATAGATAATGGGCGAGCTGAAGAAGAATAATACGAACATCGAATCATTCAATCCTAGACTTCTATTTGGCTCGCCTCCTTCAAGAGAAATCGAATGCCTTTGGACAACAATGCGTACTGCGTCAATTTGTTGTGGGAACATTGCCAGGGAGAAGCAATTCAACGTGAATCTACCTAGCTACCTAGGTAATTAGGTAGGTACATAAGCATGAGCATCATTATGGCTAATAGTAAGATTTTCGCATTCGAGAAAAACATTACACTGTTTGAGGAACGAACACCAAAAGAGAGATTGCAGATGCACTCAGTCAGACGCTGAGAGATCTCATGGGCAGATGGATGTTACCGATATCGCATAGCAGACATGTGGAAATGCCCTCTCTTTTCCCCGCTATGAGATGAGGAGACTCCTCGACGGGCGGCCCGGTGTTCGGGTGAGAGTCGCCCGCCCACTATCAAATCATGACAATGGACACTGACTGACACGATCACGCCCAGATCGACGTCTTACATTAAGGACCTGAATTGTCTTTTATGTGAGATAATCTCTCACTCCGGCAATCTCCCACCCTCTGGGGACAGAGGCAGGACAAAAGGCAACTCCCAGCGACTTGCACGTATACTGATGGTCCAACTAAGAATTTAAGCTGAAGACTGAATCGAAGCCACCAATCTTGTTCTACATCTCCATCATCATGGCGACCGCTGCTCCCTCGAGTGCTCCTACATCTGTCCCTTTCAGCGTGGGTGGGAAGACCGCCATCGTGACTGGCGCGGGCTCCGGTACGTGCGCCTGAGATACCCATTATAACTCGTCTGTTGTTCCTATCGGTTGACGCGCTAAAATAAGGAATCAATCTCTCCTTTGCGGCACTCCTCCTGTCTCGAAACTGCAATGTGGTGATAGCAGACCTTGGTCTCCGCCCCGAAGCAGAGGCGCTCATCGCGGAGCACAGCGACGTTGGGAAGAGCCCGCGAGCTGTTTTCGTTAAGACGGATGTAACATCCTGGCCCGACTTGTCGAATATGTTTGATGTTGCTTTGCAGGAATTTGGCGATGTTGATGTCCTCTGCCCTGGAGCGGGTGTATACGAACCAAATTGGTCGAAGTGAGTGCCCCAATTAGCAGACAAAGTTGCACCAAAAGATTCACACTAGCCCTCGCTTCGAATATTGAAACGTGGCACTGAAACGTCTTGCTAGCTTTTGGCATCCTCCAGGCTCAGCCGAGAGCAAGGACAATGTCGACGGACATCCAGGCCACTATGCCCTCCTAGATATCAACCTCACACACCCCATCCGAGCAACACAGCTCGCGATGTCCCACTGGCTGTATCCACCATCTAGCAGCAACTTGACGAGTGTCTCACCGTCACACCCCAAGCGCATTGTCCACATCGGCTCCGTCGCAGGCCAAATGCCCAATTTCAACGCGCCGCTCTACGGTGCCTCCAAGTTTGGGATCCACGGCCTCGTGCGCAGCTTGGCACCCCTGGATGAGCAGCATGGGATCCGAGTATCGGCAGTCGCGCCCGGCGTGGTACGTACGCCGTTGTGGGTCGAGCACCCGGAGAAGATGGCGTATTTGGATCCGGAGCAGGATGGTTGGGTGACGCCTGACGAAGTAGCTGTGGCGATGCTGCGGTGTGTGGAGGAAGAGGGACTGGTAGGTGGAACGATATTGGAGGTTGGAAAAAACCAGACGCGGTCTGTTCAGTATTTGAATGACCCCGGTCCTAGTAAGGATCCGAAGGATGGGCTGATGGTGAGGAATGCGCATGAAGGTTATGCGATGATCTGGAAATGGTTGGGGGATAGGAACATCTGGGGAAAGCCAGTAGGACGTTAAATACCCCTCCAAGAATGAACAGAGGAGGAGGGAGTAAGAAGAGGGAGAAGAAGGGAAGTGGAAGGGAGGAGGAGGGCTGCGTAAAGGCCTTCAAAATTGAATGATGGCCTCTTCATTATCCTCATTGGAAACTTAGGGCGCCATGAAGACAGCCAAACACAACTTACAGTTTACTACCTGGATTGTGCCTCACGACCCTGTATTGGTGAAGCAAATTAATTGTCGAGCTTCCCTCCCGGTTTCTCTGGACAAGGTCCTCCTATAATTTAAGAACAATTCTACTTTCCTTGAAATAATTACGCTCCTGTTTGAATTGCGAAACGAAGCGCATTTTTCTAATCAATCTCTGTCGTGTACACAAAGTCGTCACAATCTTATACCTTGGTACCTAGGTAGGTAGGTAGCTGCAAATCCTACCAGTATGTCCGACCCACAAAACAGGTCCGAACGATAGAGTATCCCGATTGAAACCATGGCATACCTGAGCAATGAGCGAGAAAATTGTGAAGCATTTTGTGACGGCACAATGGACGTTCACCGGCTAGAGGATCAGCCTCATCGCATTATATTATTGGTCTAAAAGCAGTCTGGCTAACGAGAAGGGACAAGGAAAGGAAGAGCGTCTCAACAAGCAGCATGGTGTGTCAGTCAGCAGTATCAGCAGTGCGGCTTGCAGGGGATTGATTATGTAAGTCCACAAGGCCCCGCAGGGATCAGGGCCACGCTAGCCGTTCAGCCGCCAGCCTCCACATATCAGCCCAGTGTGGAGAGAAATTGCTTGGAATATATACTCCACATTCTGAGCCGAATTCAACAATTGATCCAAGCTGATTTACAGCGTCCTGGTGGTCTAGGGGTATGATTCATCCTTAGGGTTAATTCTCGGTTGGATGAGGTCCCGCGTTCAAATCGCGGCCAGGACCAATTCATCACGTTCAAATCGTGATCTGGATCAATTTTTGTCTTTTTGCACATTCTATTTGTTTAATTAAGTTTCAATTCATTCTTAGTATTCAGATGACATTGCGTGGGCACCTGGACCCTGCAAAATGGTTTGTCTAGTCAGCCACTCACCAAACCACAAAACAGGTTTCCCAATAGGTAGATACATAACGATTCTGTTGGATGTCCTTTCTTTCATTCTTCTCCTTCTCCGTCACTTGGATTCATATTTCATTATCACTATTCAGTCACAATGTGCATAGCTTGTTTCAATTTCGTCATTCATTTCTCGTTCTATACAATGCCTGACAGGTACTTTTCTCCAAATACCTAGTCTACATTCCATCACCACCAGTGACCACAGCATCTCCATTTAAGTATTGTGGGAAGACTTCCAGCTCCCACTTGGTATGACACAGATATCAATACATTAGACAGACAAGACGAGTCATCAAGAAATCAACCGTTTTAAACCTGGAAAGCGCGCATGACACGACGAGTAGTGGCATTGCCTCCCATCTGAACGGCGTAGACACCACCAAAGGGTCCGTTTGCGTTGTTGTTGGACATCTTGACGAGACAGAGGTTGGACTGGTCGCCAATGGTACCCGTGCAAGATGTACCAGCGGGAATGGCAATAGAGAAGCTGTAGTCCTTGTTGACGTTGTTGGCACGCTTGGAGATGAGACCCATCTTAACCAGGGCGCGCGTTGCCATGCGCTTGATCTTGTTGTCGTTGCCGCTGTCGAGGCTTGTGGGGCACTCGCCAGCTGTGCCGGGCATGTCGGTGGACACAGTCGCCTTGGTGGCCGTGCTCCACTTGGCGCTTGCAGACTCGTCAATGAGCGCCTCGACGGGACCACAGCCGTCGTCGGTCACGACGTGGTAGGTGCCGCTGACGGAGCCGCCGCTGGTGACCTGGGGCAGGGTCGAGCCGCTGAGTGCCATGCTCTTGGTGAGGTCGGTGAGCTGGTTGTTGCCAGAGCCGCTCTCGGTGAAGCCAATGTCGTCGTCAGTGGCGATGTCCTTTGACCAGAAGACGGTCGTGTCAACCTCGGTTTTGTAGTTGGGGCCGGGGCCGGGAACCACGGCGCCCTGAATGCCCAGTGCTGTTCCGTTGCCACCCGCGTCTCCGGTGACAACTGCAATCTTGCCGTGGGCGGCAACGAGAGGGGAGGCCGCGAGGGCGAAGAGGAGGGTCTTGATCTGGGAATACATCTTGGAAGTTGAGAAGATAGTTCGTGTTGGAAAGACAAAAAGCCGTTGAAGATAAAGACAGTTAAACTGAAAGTTCTAGTTGGTTAATAGTGCTGAAAAAGAATGGCACGAATCAATCGCGACTTGAAAGTGAATGTTGGAGGAAAGAAGATGCTGCTGCTGATGATGCTGATGATAAGTTGAGTGTGCTCGAAGGCGGTTCTTGGCCCTCCTTATATACTAGTTGTCGACCATCACCACAGCCATGTGAGTGATGAGATCACCTCGTTTGCATGACTTCGCCCTGTCTCATTTTTCCATCCTAGCCAGAATAGCACGACGATTGGGACGACAAAAACCTTCAACCTAAACAATGTTGAGACGAGATGGGGCTGGATGAGCGGCTAAGGAAAGGAGACCTCGCCTTCACAAGGTGTCTCAGGCACGACGATGTTTCCTGGCGCCGACGAACGAGAGCCTTGGAAAACAGCCCAGTGGTGGTCACTTGGCCAGTTTGGTGCCGAGTGACAAACATACAGTCCACTCGATGGTTTTTGTTCATGATCTTCAGACGTTTTGGAGATCCTGCAGGGCTCCACAGGGTGCGTACTCAGGGCAGCCACACCTGCCAGGATCTTCGGGTTTTCGGTGTGCATGATAGGGATAGATCATAGTGTCGTTTGAACAAGCATTGAGGCTCAACTAGGCTCTTCGGGGTGTCCCCCAGCACATGGCAGTGAACACAGAGCCGCAAAGAGAAGCATTTGCCAAGTGATGTGAGCCGATCTCCCGTTGTGATTGTCATGATCCTTGAGTGCATCCGGACGACTTTTCCGAAAACGTGGGGTGTCAGGAACAGGAGTGCGTAAGCGAGTTTGAGGCGCTTTGAGCCTAGATCCAAGCTGCAAGTGATGCATCAAGTCACTGCTTGAAAAGTGGGTGGGCCATCTGAACGGATGGCCGCAAAGCCGAAGACCCTTCATAAGAAAACGAGCGCTTATGTCGTAAATGATCATCACGTATGCGAAAAATAGAAGACCACAGGCAATTTCTACTTGACAAAGTGACGAGGTGAATAACCGAGTATTCGCGCTGTCCTGTCTGGGGGCCGTAATCCTTGGTGACTGACACGATATCCGCGCTAACAGTTGAGCCTCAAACTGTCCAGGTCTCATGTCTTCCCGTTGCCCCTGTGGCTAACACCCCCGTTTTGCAAAACATAGCAGTCCTTCCCTGCCAGCCTGCACGGGCTCATCTGATCCTGATCGGATGCACGCCGAAATATCGTAAAGAATGGGATGGAAATCAAGGACCAACTTGTAACGAGGAGAACCAAGTTGTGCCAAATCTTTACTAGTGGCTCGAGGGGGTGGCGCGGTGAAAGACGTCTACATAGTAAAGGCATCATGGCGTAAAAGCAGCAGGTCAGGGACGCTGGTGGAGTCTTGGCGCATGTGTGTAAGATGATTGGTCAGTCGGAGACGATGCAGGGGGGTAAATCAGTGGAATCATACACGTTGGTTGCAATGGATGTGTATACTATGGCAGCAATATTAGGAGCTAAATTATGCCCGCAAAGAGTCTGCCTACAATTCGAAGCAACATACGACCACGTTCATCATCATGACCATCCGCTCATACTCCACGGCCGCTCACCGACATCCCACCTCGCGGGCTGCGAGCCCATCTCAAAGACCAGCTCGCTCGCTCCGACAAGCTCAGCATGGCTCACCCAAGCGCGATCCAGCTTGACCCCATCCAAGGTGACCTTCTGAGGATAGTAGGCATCATCGGCCAGTCCCTCTGCTCGAATCGCCAACGTCCTCTCCAGCCCGGTCCTGGCAAACAACCTGACCTTGACCGACGAGAACCGAGGAGCACCCAGCAGATACATTGGCTGGCCTGTGATGGGGTACACACCTAGCAGATTGAAAATTAGCCAGCTCGGCAATGCACCGGCGTCCGTGTTTCCCGGATACCCATTTCTCTGATCACTGTAAAACTCGTCCACGACCGCCCGGCTCTGATTAGCCGTCTTCCAGTGATAGCCCGGTACGTAGTTGTACAAGAACGGCATGGGGAAGCTTGGCTCGTTGCCCGGGTTGAAGAGCGTGCTGCCTGCGTCATTGTTCGCATTGCCCGTGCTCCCGCCGAGTCCAGGAACGAACGAGGCATCAAGGCGTTGCACAAAAGCTTCATCCCCACCCATGAGCGCAATGACCCGTGACATGTCGTGCGGTGCCGCGGTGAAGGACGTCTCCCAGACTTTGGCTTCGTAGATGTCGTCTGCCCACCCGCAACTAGGAACGCAGACGATAGGGTCATAGTCGGTGAGATTGAAGCCTCCATCTGCGTCCCTCGGGCCCGCGAAACCAGTGAACGTCGTGTTCGTTCCGTTGCCGCTTAGAGCCAGGCTGGTGGTCGCCGCACTGTTCCATTGATTCTCCCACCATGCTGCCCGATCCAGATACCGCGCCTGGTCCGTTTCGCTCACACCCAGGCCCTTGGCCACTGCCCAGATTGCAAAGTCATCCTGTGGATACTCTAGACCACGCGAAATACTCCTAGAGTGATTTCGAGTAATGTAACCCAACTGCAAATAATCATCCAACGCGCCTCTGCCCTCCTTTGTCGCGCCATCGGGTGTCACGCTGTCTGCATTACGCGCTGGCAGGACCTCTGCGTTCTTGACCATGCCAGCGTAAGCCTCAGCCCAGTCGATAGCACCCAGCTCGCCCAGACCTGTCGTATTCGTGGTGGGTGAGAAGACGCTCTTGACGTAAGCGTCGCCTAGCACGAGATCAGCATGCGTGCCGCCCTGCACGCGACCATTCCAGTTCGCTGCGCGGCCTGCTGGGAGGTAGCCTTCGAAGGAGAAGATGTTGATGAGGCCGCTCACCACGCGGGAATAAGTGGATGTGAATAAGAGGTGGTACAAGGGGAGGAGGGTGCGGTAGGTGTCCCAGATGGTATAGTGGTCATCGTAATATGGGAAGGACGTGTTGGATGTCCAATAGGGGTTCTCGCCCGTCTTATCCGTGGGCATCAGGGATGTCTGATAGAGAGCTGTGTATAGCATTCGCTTGAGCGTAACATTCTGACTGGTCGTGCTATTATCATCGACGACCTCGACCGCGCTGAGGACCTTGGTCTCCCATTCTTGACGGGCTTGCTCCACGATGTCGTCAAACGTTCTTGTGGAGGGAACCTCATCCGCAATGTACGCGCAGGCTTTCTGAACGCTGATGTGCGAGATACCTACCCGCGCCTCGATGCTAGCGGTCGAGTTCCCAGTAATGCTAGATGCTCGGCTCCAGCTGAACAGTGCCCCAATCCCCATCCTGTTCCCTGCCCCAGCGTAGATTTCCGTGTCAGACCTCACAGTTGGCTTGTCTGCCGCCGGCTCATAAGCATTGTATGGCCAAGTGAACGTGCCTGCGCCATCCACGCGGTCAAAGCCTACAGCTTGCGCATATGCGTTTGTCGGCGTCAGTACTGAGCCCTCCGGCACGCTGAAATTGCTGCAGAAGAAATACTGGTGTTCTTCCGGGTTGGGCCATCCGCCAATGTACGTTGCGCTACCGTAGTATGAGGCTTGTCCTGAGGCTCCTGTACGAACTTGCAGACTTCCTCGCAGGTACTGTTGGGAATAACTCATGGTTCCAGGATTCTGCGCAGGAAGGACGTGAGTCAGATCCACGAGGATGTGCGCGTCATCAGCGGACTGTGTCGTTTCCAAAGCAGACACAGAGCCTGCGCCAACAGTTTGGCTGGCATTGCCAGG